GCTCAAATTAATATTCCATCACATTCAGCCCCCAAACAGACACCTAAACGACTTCACAGGCCACAAGTTCAGCAGCACTGTTGGCATTTATATGCATTTCTCGCTAACATTGAAGGACGTTTGTCTCACTCTCACCTGATCCGGTATGACAAGTGCAAAGAAATTTTGGAATGGCTGGGAGTCGGAAAACAAACACAGGTGGGAGGTGCATAAATGTAGGTGATACGCCAAGCTTTTGACGCTGATTGTCTTTGACAAATCGATGTTGACAAACAAGAAGCAAACTTAAAACTAAAATACCTTTGCGTTCCCTTTCGAAACGGTCCATTTAAAGCAAGAAAATCAAATTGACAGTCGAGGGCAGTGTTTTGATTCATTTGCTTTCTTTCCAATATGAATGCAGCTGTTGATGTTTGAGGGAATGAAAGAAGGGAGAAAATGTTTAATTTTTGCAACTACGAACATCCAGTCTTCATGTGTCGATCGGCATGCAGATTTCATATTTAGTCATCTCATTCGCCCAGGAGATGTAGCACATCGAGTCCGAGGGACGCGTTGGCTCCAACTTTAAACCCCATCACGGAGAGCAGATTGAATCTTAAGCCTTTGCGGTGCCACTTCGTTTGTCGGAGTCGCATGTACTCCGCTTCAGCATTTGTGAACGCATCGAGAAGTAGACTTGAATTGATAGGCGAGGGTCTGTTGAGTTGAGGCACAACTAGCGAGAGCGATTCTGTCAAGTTGGATGTTGTAGAGTTACAAGAGAGAACAAAAGTAGTGATTACTGATATCCTCCAGATTATAATTCGAAGTTAAATTGATGGTTTAGAGAGCTTCTTGACTCAAACTATCTTTAAAATGTCCTCATTTTCTGCTGAGCAGCGTTGGATTTCCCTTTTTTATAAGCAATTGTATTCTGACAGCAATTTATTTTTCGACGCAAAGCAACTCGTAAGTCATCAGCAAAATTAATTTATGACCCAAGACTTGTAACGAATTATCCCCTCGCATGCTGGGCAAGGTTTTGAGGGTAAAACAAATCTGTTTCGACTCTATTTTCTTCTAATTCCATGCTGCACAGCGGTCGTATCGTCAAGGCAGACATGTTTTGTGCAGTGGTGGTAACAGAATGTGCCTTCGTGGTCAATGGGGCGTTGAGGACGCAGACCACAGGCGTAATTAAAGTGTAGCTGCTTGTCCTCAATTTCCACAAGGCGTCATAAAAGAGCCGGTCCAAAACTGGGAAGAGCAGTGATGCTCCACCACCCATCGCTAAACAACAAATGCGCTCCATTTGGTTCTCTTGAAATTCTCCTGTGAAAATAGAATGAGGTTTTGAACTTGAAAAGCAGCAATTTCTTGTGCTTTCCAATCAACGACACGCAAGTTTTAATCGAGCATCTCGATTCGGAGCAAATTAATCCTTTCCTATCTCACTTCATTCGTCTTTACTCTCCTCCTTGCCCTTCCTCACTCACTTCCTCACAGTTATATACCGACGTTCGGTGCGTTCACAGCATGAAGAAGTGAACAAACTAGAAGACACATAGTCATTTCGAAATCGACCTTTGAATTTCATCACACTCAGCGCTCCCAAGATGGATAGCTTTGTGCAAAACAACTGCGTCTGGCAACTGTGACTGGTCATGCTAAGTGGCGATAATTCTCCAACATCCGAAGAGTCTTTAAAACAAAGAATAGTCAAAAGTTTACAATTATTCGGTTAGGATGCTGTGTCAGTCTGCTAACTCAGAGAACAGTGGACTAAAGCTTTTTTAACGATCTCAACAGGAAAACGTGCTTTAGTCACTGGGGCCTGAGCCTGAGCACGGGGGCGGGGGAAAATCAGCTCTTCAATCTTTGAGGCAGTCTCGGCGCTCCTGTGTGGCAGCCTAGCGGCAAAATTAATGAAAACAAATAAATTCGTAAAACTTGCTGCGCTCATTTCGCCGCCCCTTTGCCTTCACACCTTTTGACAATGACATGTCACGGCAGGAGAGATGCAGTGACGTGTGAGTGCTGTATGAGTTGATGAGCTTACTACTGCAAATTAATGATAGCAAGAGATTTTGGCGGTTTTAATGAGTTTCCAATAGTTGGGAGAAGAAAGAGTGCTTTGATAAAGAAACGTTGTGAAAAAGCCTTAAAAAATTTATGACGACTGCAGTAAAATAACCACGCACTTGCTTTTAAGCCATTTCAAAGCAATAAACAGTGTTTAGGCTCCATTGAAGTGAAGTCGACGTAATAAAAGGGCAAGTTCCCATAAAAAGTTGCCTTTCCTTTTAATGCATGTTTTGCACTGGCGCAGTGCAGAGGAGCTGAGGCTCCTGGCATGTGCCAGAGACCGGTCCTAGGGCGGAGGCAAACGAATGTGCTGTAAAGGTGCGATTTGGTCCAAAAACCACTGATACATCTTAATGAAAGCACTGAATATGGAGGTCTCTCTTGCCCGGTAGCTGTGTAAAGGGAGGATGACTAGGCGGGCCACCTCAGACATTCGTCTTCAGTGGCAGAAAAACTGGTCCAAAGGCACAGTCATCGGATGATTTGGCAGTGTTTCAAGCATCTTTGAGGCGATAGAATTTCGCGTCTTTCTCTTTGCTTCAGTGTATTCACTTTAGAGCTTCCTATTAGATGGACTAGGACTATATCAAGCTAGCAGGAATACGGAGGAGAAAATCGTCTTCTCGATTGGTAACCACCTTCATACAAATGCCTTAATGTACAATTCACCGAACTGTTTAAGGTGATTTGCTGCAAATGTCGTTCGTTTGTGTTGTGCAGCCCTTCTGTCAAAGGTCGTCACAGTTTCTTTCGTCCGCAGGTATGCGCT